TAAAAAAAAATAAAAGGTGAGAAGTAGAGTTCATCTCCCTTTGACTTCTGGGAGATGACCGTGAAAATCCTCTTTATAATATGATTATACTATAAACTTATACAACATTATAATATTATTTTTTTTCTTTTATCCCATTTTGTCATGTTAAACAGTTCATGTGGGGGAGAATCCAGTCTTGTTTGTATTTCTATTCACCCTCAGTACTAGCATGGCACATTTCCATTGATTTGAAAGGAATTGAATTTTCACTAGGATGGTAAGCTTGATGGACTGGGGAGGGCTAACTACACCAACCCATTCTAGCCAAATTTGAATTCTGATAAGCTTACTTCTTTCATGCTTTTCTCCAATCTATCCCCTTCTTTTTAAGAAGTCCCAAAGAAGGAAAAAAAACAAAACAAAACACCACAATGATTCATATAAAATCATTTTTGACATCTTCAGAGATTTCTCTAGGTTCTGGTCCAAGCCTGATTATTGTTCAATTCTACCTCCATTCTTCCTACACTTGAGGGATTTCAAAAAATGTACTTAATGATTTGGACTTGTTTTAATTTTCTCAAACTTATTTTCCCTTGAGGTTAAGAACATTTTGTAAATTTGCAAATACCAAAAGTATTTTGCACACAATGAAGAGATTTTAAAAAAATAATCAGATCAGATTCAGAACATTTCCCCAAGGAAAGGAAGTGCACAAAATAGTCAAATGATTAATTAAAAAACAAAGCAAAGGAACTAAAATATCTCCCTGAACTAGTTCCTAAGGTATGCTCTCTTTCCATCATGAAACACTGACTAGTCTGCACTGTTTGTTTTTTGAAGTAAAACTTTGATGGGAAAATTAATAACTGAGTCCACTGTGTATTTCACACATTAACATTTCTTTTCTTGCCAAACATTTTGCTATGTGCTTAGGCATTCATGCTCAATACATTTTCCAGCCTGTTCAGGTGTCCATCTTTCTTGTTCCTATAAATATTCTACTAAATTTTCAAGTGAAGCTCCTGGAAAGGTAGAACATCACCATATCTTTCTAGAAATTGATAATAAAAGCAAATTTTCTTTTGTTGTCCATAGAAATAACACAAATTCCTGGTTTGAATTTCACTCCATTAGGTAGGGTCTCCATAGTATGATGATCTGATGTTGATAAACTAATCAGTTTTGGAAATGCTTGGTATCTGAAGAAGAGTGACAAATGATGTGTGACCTAATTGATAAGTTGATAAACTGACTGAAATTGCTAAATTGACAAAATGATTAAAGTTGATAAATTGATAAATAAATGTTTCTTGAGCAATGACTATCTGCAAAGCCCACTTCAAATTGAGATTTGCTACCTATTAAACAGAGGCAAGGATGTAGGGTCTTGGAGTCCAGACCTAGTTAGGGATGTGCTTCCTGATACCTTGCCAGCAAATCATGGACAAGAGTCAGCTCTTCTTAGCTTGTTGTTCTTTCTAACTTACAGTAACTGGGCAAGAATTTGACTTTCACACCCAAATCAGTTCCTCAGTGTAACTGACACTTTCTAATGTGTTCTATTCCGTAGCAAGCGGTGCCACCATATAATATTACTCTTGGCTTACGTCGGAGTTAACACAAACTTTTCTTTCTCTGGGTCTCATCTTGCTAAGAAACATTCCCCACACCTGCAAGCTCTAGTTCCATCTATTTGCATAAATCAAACTCAAAAATGTTGATAGACTTATTATGAGTCCCTTATGTCAGGGACTCAGGAGACTATAGAGAGACATGAATAATAGTAGCAGAAGCAGCAGTAACAATAGTAGTAAAAGCAATAAGAATGGTAAAAGTTAATATTTACTGAATGCCTTCTATGGGGCACTGTGCTAAGCACTTTACGAGCAATAATGACTTCATTTTACAGAACAAACCAAAATGCAGAGAGGTGAAATAACCTGCCCTAAAACTCACCCAGTCCTGTGGTCGACCTGGGAAATGATTTTTCTGTAAAGTTTAGCAGAACTCACCATCTGAGAATGTTTTTTTAAAAAGGCGAAGTTTTTTACTATCACTTCAGTTTACTATCACTATTTATTGGATAGGTTTTCTTCTCTGGATTTAAAAGAGATACATTCAATTTTTATTCTTATGGTGGCTGCTCCTCACTTAAGCACCCCAGTTTATATAGATAGATATATTTTCTATTGAGTTCTGAAAATTTTTAATGTCCATGTTTTTCCTGAACCAGACAAATAATTTAGTATGTTCTCATGTCACTTTGTTTTCTTCCCCCACCACTACCCCACATCTTATGCTGATATTTTCTAGAAAAATTCTG